AAATTAATGAACTCAATATTGAGTCCGGAGGGCTGTAGGGTCCCCAAGCGGAAAATGAGGTGTTGTTCCTCCAGCTTGCGTTGGGCTTCACTGGAACTCTCTTCCCTGGCCAGCAGAGGAGGTTTAAACATTGAATACATTTAAGGCTGAGTTGGATAGCATTTTAATTGACAAGAGAGTCAAAGTATATGGGGGTATGAGGGAGTGGGTTAGGGTGGGGGGTGTGGTGGACAGAAAAATAGAAGAATTGTAATCAGATCAGCCATGATTTTCTCAAATAGTACAGCAGGCTTGACAGGCTGAATGGCCTACTCCTGTTCATGGCTCTTATGTTCTTGCATACACCAGAATTATGTCAAGGATAAAAGGATTAAATTATGAGGACCAGTTCCAGAAAGTTGGTGTGTTTTCCTTTGAGCTTAGAAGACTGAACAATGATCTAATTGAGCCGTTTGAAAGGATAAAAGAATATGTTTGCGATTTCCTCTGGTAGGGAAGTCCAGAACGCAAATTAGTTTTTCAAGAGTGAAATCAGGGAACAATTTTTCACCAAAGGTAGAGGAAATATGGAATTTTCTTCTCCCCAGATAAGTTAGACTGAGATTAAAAAATAAATATGATTAATACACAGAGCAGTCTGGTTTCAATTCAACAATGGAACAGGCTTAAGGGGCTGGACCCTGTAAATGGCCACACATAGTACCAGCGACATCACAAGCGATCATTGCTGTTCTGGAAATTTAGGGATGAATTTTCACCTGGGTTTGAGAAAATCCAACCTGTGCACCTTCATTGCATGATCAATCTATGTGTCTTTCACCCAGGGGTTGGATGTGAAGTGTATTTTGTGAGCAGAAGTTCAATGCTTTAGCAATGCGAATGCAAAGGAGTGCCAGAGCAGCACAAGAGCATGTAAGCACTGCTCCTGGCATCACCCAATTCATCCGTGCCACCCCTTACCATCTCAAAATCTCCCACATCACCTCACATTTTCTTAATCCACTCACAAAGTTCATGCCATCCTGTGTCTCCTCAGATTCTCCATGCCAATCAATGGAAGAGAGCAGGCACAAATCTTTTGTTTTCTACCTTCACAAACAGGCATATTTTTAAAACAGCCAGAACAGTCCAATTAATTCAGATCATAAAAGCATGATAGCAAAGGACGTTTTTAAAAAAAATGTTTTATACTATGGCACTACCTCGATTGGAAACTTATTGTAATCTATGTAGACAATTGCACAATAGTGTTCAAGGTAAGGATAAACTTATCTTTGTACGACACACTCCGACAATGCATCACTGCATTACAACACATTTACAATACAGCACCTTAAAGTGACATTTGAAAGTGTTAAAACATTTTACACTTACCTTTCAGAATGTCCAGACTCCTCCACAGTCTTACTACTTTCATCACAAACTCTCAAACCTGTTGTGCTTTTAATGGACTTTCAAGACCTAACACTAGCAGAAGATAATGCTGTCCACAAGGAAATTCAATTTTTGTTCTCCATTTATAATGGGAAATCTGACCTCAGTGGAGAGTGCTTGAGAGGAACAGGTGTGTATTTTGCATAAGGCATTCCCAATCCGCATAAAGGCCAGAGAAAATGGTATGGAGTACTGAATCTGGAGGAAAATTGGATTTCATCCGAAAAAAGACAAGGTCTTGCTATTTGCACACCAAAACATGTCTCTGGACTCAGACAATGATTTGGTCCCTAGTTGCAGTTGATATAATGTAATGACCGTGTGATGTAAACTTCATGTAAACTTCACGTAAATTTAAACTTAAACTTAAACAGAAAGAAACCTTACAATAATTATTCACAGAAACCCATACTGTTACACCACTGTTGAAATAGTTTTAATACATTAATAACTGTCATATCATAAAGATGGCAGTAACAACACCTGACTACTTAAAATAAAATCTTTCTCAGGAATGTGAATGAAGGAATTGAAAGGTGCCATTGCTACCTGAGATGCAAAGAATGGATACATTGAGTAGCATGTTATCCCTCCGCAAAAAACACAATTGCTGTTCCTATTTAACTGAAGCTCCAGTAGATTCTCATGAAGAGAGAACTGAATTTTATGCAGAGGTTTTTAGTGGGTGTTAAATACATTCCTCACATGTTAAGTTCCCACCTTCTAGATCTACTCCTATAAACTTGTTACTTCATTTAAAATGGCCCATTTTCCCTTCTATCTTCACACCACTGCTGTCTGACTCCATGGTGACACTGTCAACAATTACATTGAAGGAAGGTCATCACCATGAGAACCTCTTTGGCAAACCCTTTTCTTTCCTGCTTGTTTGCAAAGGCAGGTACTGTGACCTAATTTGTTATCAACACCACATTATTATTTGAGCACAATGTCACTTCGAAGGAAATGACATGGATCTCTTCCAACTTTTATCACTGCTTCCACTTTAACAAGAAAATGGCGTGCCAAATGCTGTCTCCATAAAGGTTACCTTCTTCAATGAAGCCTCTACAGAACAGGTAAGAGAAGTTTTGTCAAAAAATTGTTATTATAAAAAAATGTCAAGCCCGTTAAAGATAGAGTAATTATGGGTACCTGCAGGGGAGGCACCGCATCTACTGCAGATCAAGTTCGAACAATGGGCGACACATCATTGCGGTGTTTGAATCTGTTAGTGTGAAGTAAACAAAAACAACAATAGAGGAACACAATTTGTAAAAGAAATGGAGTTAGTATGCAATCCAGGTCAGCCAGAGAAGCAACCACAGCTCCACACAGAATATTCAATCAGGAGAGAGAATATGGGCTTCAAAGAGATTGCATTTTCTTTTCATATGCTGCAGGCCCTTTCAGACTGTATCTCAAAACTAACAATTTGTTTGAACAAGAGACTCTGCCCTAATGAAGGTACCAAGCACAACACTATGTGAAAGGTGAATTGAAATAACATTCAATAGCGTGGCCACAAAATCAAGATGGTGGCAGAGTTCTGTGGTACTGTGGTTCTTAGCTCTTCAGTCTTGAATGTAATTTGCTTAAAAATGCCTTGAAGTGGTGCAGCGAAGTTAAAAGGCGTGTAAGCTTATCATCGTCCCCAACCTAGGCCAACACAGGCTTTAGGTAATACTGCCTCTGAAAAATATTTGCACTCAGTTTGCTGTGCTTTATCTGCAGGTTCTGCAAATCTGAAAGGAGAGGCACCTGGCAAGAAGAATGGCTAACGCAGAGTGTTAGGCAACAAAATACACACCTGCAAGGGCCGCACCAGTCTGTCCGTTGGTCAAGGCCAAAGCGTGCCCGGCATTTCTTAGGAGAGCTTGGATCTGAACAAATAAAACAAAAAGAAACAAAAAAAAGCGGAACATGTGGCAAGGATGGGCAAGGAAGGCATGAAAAAGACAGAAAAAAAAGCAAAGAAAAGCAATAGATGTTATAGCAACTGTTACAATAATTGAACAAAGTTATTTGACACAACAGAGTCAATTTGAAGGTTGTTTTAGTAAGGCAAACATTTTACTTATAAGCAGAGTGCTTTTTACCACATATAAAGGTGCTGAATTAAACAAACATAAAAGGTGTTATGAAATTAAATATTAAAAAAAGAGCAAAGCGAAAAACCTCTATGTTTGCAGAGAGGATGCTACAGTATTCAGATAAAGCAGACTTTTGCTAGAATGAAGTAGATCACTCAAAGCTGAAACTAACCCTGCAAACCTGGCCACCTCCCCATTGTCATGAGAAATTGTTAAATCGATATGTGTCTCGTTGCTTCAGTGTGTAAATGTATGGCGGGCACTAACTCATACAGGTTTGATAGCTAATCTGCCAAGCTTGGGCAAGAAGAGTAGTACAACAAGTGGCATGTAGGACAGTGAACGAAAGGAATAAACCTGGGGGTGTTGTCCAGATTAATTGCTTCTTGGAAAATAAATTGGTTTGAACATCAGGCAGGGTGTGGTCAGACTCAAATGAGATATACACATGTTCCTGTGATCTGAAACATACAAACCAGATTAATATAAAGAACTGCCACTTGAGTGAAAGGTAATGTAATGTAATTTTTGGCAGAAGGGCAAATTTGGGGTGAAGAAATAATACGAGTAAAATTGAGTTCTATTTCTTGTAAACTGATTCTTTCAGGAAAAAAAGGAATCTTTTTCATTATTCAAAACGTGAATGTAGGCCACTGACAATGTCAATGCCTCATCATGCCCTCTAACACCTGTAACATTCTAAATTCCCATTAATTCTATTAGTAATTGAGAAGATCATAAGAAATAGGCAGAAGAGTAGGTCATTCAACTCCTTTAACCTGATTCACTATTTAATAGGCGCAAGTCTGATCGGACTCTGTCCTCAACTCCACTTTCCTGCCTGCCCTCTATAACATGCCTCCCTAGTCGATAAAAGAACTGTCCGACTCAGTCTTGAATATACTCAATGACTAGCTTCCACTGTGGAAAAGAATTCCAAAGACTGATGATTGTGCAAGAGAAAAAAAATCCTCTTCATCTTAAATGGGAGATGCTTATTTTTAAAGAATGCACTTAAGTCCATTCAAAATGACCGCTACAGAATTGTCTGTGTATACTTGGAAGAATGGTGACAGTGTTCTTAATATCTTCCTGTGCACTTTTTCTTTTACTATTTTATCATAATTATATGTATTTCAGACTAGGTGGCCACTTTTTAGGATTTTTGATGTTTTGAAATACTTCTGAAGGACAGAACAGCTTGCGCATGCCAACTCATTCTATTGGGAAAAATTGCACAGGCAGCCTAATTTTATAAATGGAAATGCCAGTGAGACTAAAAACAAACTAAAATAGCAATGTGAGCCAAACCACGAATACCAAAGAAGCCAAACAACAACCTTGTTTCTTTTTGAAGTGTCATTTTCTATATTCATCAAATCCTGGTCATCAAAGTTCAATTAATGATTTTGGGGAATTGGGTAATATTAGCTTAAAAGGCCGAATTAAATGTGTGAGTGATGCTTGCTTTTTATCGATGAAAGTGTTTTCATCGTTAACACTGTTCCTCATTTTTGGAGATAGGCTTGACAGTAGGATTGATTTTTCTTTCCAACAATGTGTATTTGCCCTTATTTGTCATTTTCCGTCCCTATAGCTGTAAATGTTCTTGTTCATGAATCCATGGGGATACATTAATATCAATAAATAGGTGTCCTTGCATTGCTGAAGCTATGTGCCCCATTTTAATGTTTCAGGTTAAAACTACTCTGCTCTGCTGGGTTCCTGAGCCTTGGGAAATCCAGCTGCAACGGGGAAAGAAAGATCACTGGATCTAGGAGATAGGACCCTTCCCTCACCACTTGATCCAGCATACCTGCATCATAAAATACTGGCGATCTGAACCTATTCAACACCTGACCTTCTGAACCTGCTCCCAGAAACCTTACTGAGGAGTCTGTCTCACAATCTGCATAAGGCCTCTCATCTCCCCCCTCCAATTCCACATGGGCAGGAACCTCCCATTACACCCCACCCACAATCCAAGCTCGGATTTATCTGGTCCTATACTTCTCACCTGACTGGGAGCCATGACTGAAATCCAGCTCACAAATCCAATGGTGACATCACACTTAAGTGTGAAGGGGAGCTGCAACTGGAGGTCTCCCTTCCATCTGCTGACACCCAGCCTAACTGGTCTTGTCGGATCAAAAAGTTAAAATCCTCCTTCTATACGTCTGCTTTTATGTGCATATCGTGCGGTTGAATGGTTGCATTTTGTGCTGTGCCTGTTTGTTTGTGTGTGTCTGTCTCCAGCAGAGTGCGACTGTTTATCCTGTGTCACTGTGCGTTCGCCTGTGCAAGGGTTAACACTGTGGTATATGTCAGCACCACAGGTGCTTTTTAAAGCTTTCTTCTTTCATTTTAGAGGCAGAGTCTCTTTTTCAATTTAGGTTTTCTATTGGAAAAGTTTGTTTAGAGGTACATTATAATACTTTTACTGTTCTCAAAAGAACCCACATAATTTCTGAACAAGCTCTGTTTATAATTTATGGAGATTACTTCCACCACGCCCCTCACTGACCAACAAATAAAACAGTTTGCAGCACTGCAAATGGCATCCTCTCAAGTTACACATACCAAATAAATCTAAAATATTCTAAAACAGGGAATTACACAAGACAGTCAAATTTAGCCCCCGGGGTATATAGTAATCAAATACAAAGACACTGAATATTTCTGCATCAAAGCACAAGTGAAATGAGCATTCATGAAAAAGCACTTGATAAGGCCTTTTGCCAAAGATGCACCACCCAAAAGTGTAAGTCACGTTGAAATGTTTTATCATGATGGAGATGACACACAGCCCCTCTGGCTTATTTGCATTTTCAAACAAGTAGAAAAGTTAGCCAGATATTTATGTGGCTTGGGGGAGTTGGATTTTCATTTGTCCCTGAGTGGAATGTAGAAGAAAAATTAAGCAGTGAAGATTGTGCAGCTGCAACTGAGCTCACTTGAATCCCCTTCCATTATTTGAAAAGTGAGCTCCATTACAGATGTGCAATCCTCTTCATTCAGGCTTCTCTCTGTCCTCTGCCCGGGTGACACTCTCCATCAGGCATAAGGACACAGACTAACCGTCTGTCTTTTTCAAAAGCACTGACTGCCCTAGTATAAATTGTGTAATAAATCAACACAGCAGTTGATGCTGCAGCATAGTGATCGTCAATTCTCTTTCTCACTCTCATACCCGAGCAGCCACTGTCCACCAGAATGATCACAATAAGTTAAAAGTTTTTAAAAAAGACTTCCTATGTAAACCATGACATGATTATCTCACAAAGAAACCAAACACTTTGGAATTTATTCATGTCTGTCACATATGTAAGGGTTCAAAATATAGACAAATAGTTCAAATGAACTTCAGTGTTTAATAATTTCAAAATACACTTCCACTCCTTTACTGCATTGGATGGACCTGTTGCAAATTCCTATTTGCTGCATGTTATTGCAAACTTATTTTACGTCTGGTGAGGTGTAATTGAGGTATGCGTTAGTAAATTGATACGAAATTCTACTGGCTGCTATCTTAATGAAGGCATTAAACATTAGTGAAATAGTTGACTTCTTTGATAAAACGAAAGCTCAAGAAATATCATTAATACAACAGCCTGGTAATATTGCATAATGTGAATCATCCCATGATTTCACGTTGCAGTTGAATGAGATGCACAATCACAGGTGAACAGCAAGCACAAGTTATGACATGAAAAATCTCCATACCTGGGTCAGAGTCTTGCTGCTTTTCTCTTTTCCTCCTTTTCTTTTTACCCTACAATAAATAATTTCCAACATATTCAAGTCTATTTATGTCTCAGTGATGACAGTTCTTAAATACTAAACATTTCTCGTCTTTTGGGCATTCTTAAAAACTACTCAATGTTTTTACTAATGGCAAGGCTCCCACTTTGTAGAAGTACTCCAGATCATCAAGGAAATCTTAGACTTGTAATCTCCCTTAACTGTCCACTCTGCAACCCTTGAATATTCTCCCTTTACTGCATTATGGCTTATGATAGATTCAGTAATGTGCCAGTTATCTGGCTCATGTATATATAGCAAAATGACGGACAATATTCAAAAGAATAACAACATAAATTTTAAAAAGCTGATGTGAGTATTCAAAAAAAACAAAGAAAATAAAAATGATCCTTTATTTTACGTGAGGCATATTTATTCATTAAAACATTAGGGAAAGTTAAGACGGAAATGTGGTTAGTCCGTAGATGTTCATAAGGAAGAACAGGGCAGTGAAAGGCTTTCTCTAAAATAGGAAGGGAAGATAAAAGATTGCATCACCCATGTCACTCTTGTACACCTCTTAACTTCCAACTGAAATGATAATTCTTACGAAATTCCTGACCTTCTCTTGGACAGAAATGGTGCAGTTGATGGGGAGAGGAACATTAATATAATGTCAAAAGAAGCAAAATATGTTTTTTTAAAGAAAAGCTGACTGTGCAAGTGAGGAATATATATATACAATTTGCTCTTTTGGCATTTCGAGCTAACCTTTGAAATTATAACATGTGCTCTTTGTGGTTTCTCCAAAGGCGGAACATTTCATCACCACAGTGTGCTTTGTTAGTGTGGGACCCACTGTACTTCCTTTCCAATATAAGGACCAGGAAACATAACCCACATTCCAGTTTCGCACTCAGGTTTCACCAGATGCCAGGGGCATCCGCACAAAGAAAAGACTAGGAACAAAATATCAGAAGCTTGAAAAATTTGCAAAGCCAATGCAATAATTCCCATCAGCTAGCGGGATGGAAGGGGAAGGAGGCAGGCTAGCTGCCAGTTTTCCATTCAAAAAGAACAAACAAACCAAGTGTTTGATCTTTATTCTATCAGACCGTTCCTTATAAAAATATGTGGTGCTTTACAGTGCGTAGAAATGTCTGTGAATTCAAACTAAAAGCAGATAATTTACTTTCCTACATTGTATTTTAAGAAAAGCACAACATTGAAGATTTTTTTTTGACTGAATAGAAAATTTAGCTAGTTTCCTATACAAGATTTTCTATTAGTGGATTGTGACTACAGAATTCAGTTTTCTGCTTTTGTTTCCTCTTCTTGGAATTTATTTACTCCCACAGATGCGTATGTGTTGGATTTTAGCATTGGCCAAGTCTGTTTGGAGACATATAAAGAATTGGGTTAGCGGATGTTAATTTTTGGATTGAGATACTAATAGTTTAATCCCAGATTTGACATTCAGATATTGCATAGAAGCTTTCCCATTGTGGTTTATGACATTGTCTAGACTTTCCAAGATAATTCGTTTGCAACTGGATTTAGGCATTGCTTATTTTTAGATTTTTAAATTTGATTTTCCTTGCTAAAAGTTCCCCTTCTGTGCCTTGATGTCCTGAACTCATTATATCTTTCATAGTTTGTTGCTCTCTCATATCTTAATCAATACCTGCCAATCGTGTCTACTTTGACAGTGAGCTCTGACAGGCTAATTAAGCAGAACAGACCATGGGCTCAACCTCGTCCATATCAACTCTCTGCACATGTGTACGTACATACATTTATGCTCACATGCATACACAAATACCTACAAACATACACACATGCGCACACCTCTAACAGGGATCATGGGTGCAATCCAGAGTGGGTGAACTAGCTGATTTTCTCCTCCTATCTTGTAAGTGTGACTGACTACTGCAGCATTCTGATTGTTATAGTTGGTTCAGCAGAGACATAGGGATCAAGCATTCTATCTGAAATACTGAATTCCTTTTAGTATGAATTGTGATGTGTAGTGCTGTCAGCATGCTCAATATTCATGACACAAATTGCCTTAAAAAAGATTGTTCTTGCTTTGTTTTAAATAAATTTAGTAAGATTTGTGATTGCCTGATACTTATTGAAGGGTATTCATGGTACCACATAAAGGGTTATTGTACAAACAGGAGATCACGTTAAAGGGAATGACATATTAGCACTGATAGAAGATTGACTAGTTGGCAGAAAACAGATGGTATGCATAAATGGGTCTTTTCAGATTGGCAGGGTGTAACAAGTGGAGTCCAGCCAGCTCTGTGCCATATTCTCAACTTTTTTACGATTTATTTCAATGACTTAGATGAGGGGAATGAAGGCACGGTAGCTATATTTGCAGATGACACCAAAGATAGGTAGGAAAGAAAGTTGTGAAGATAATATAACAAGGATGTCGACCCATGTAGATAGTTTCAGTGTGCAAGAATCTGCCAGATGGAATATAAAGGAAGAAAATGTGAATTTGTTCACTTTGTCAGAAGAATTAAAATTACTTAAATATTATCAACTATTATTTAAATAGAGACTAATTGCAGAATTCTGAGGTGCAAATGGATCTAGATGTTCTAATGCATGTGTCATAATAAGTTAGTATGCAGGTATAGCAAGTGATTAAGAATTTTCAACAATTTTAGGACTTGGGGCATCTTCTCCCATGTCCTTACTGCAACTCCCACATACCGGGCCTTGTTATCACATGGTCTGCTATTACACACGACTAATTGTTAATGGTCTCCATTAGCAGCAAATCATTCTCCTAGGCTGACAGTTACCCACTCCTTTGTCAATCCAACTGCTCTTCTCTCTCTTTGGGCTCCATCTCCAACCTATTTTTTACTCCTTACCCCCTCCCCCCCGCCCTACTTCTGCATGAAGAAAAATCATTTTTCTAGCTACCATCTGTTCTGAAGAAGGGTCACTGGACCCAAAATGTTAACTCTGATTTCTTTCCACAGATGCTGCTAGACCTGCAGAGATTTTCCAGCAATTTCTGTTTTTATTCTTCTGATTTCAAGCATCTGCAGTTCTTACAGAGTCATACAGCATGGAAACAGACCCTTTGGTCCAACTAGTTCATGCTGACCATGTTCCCAAACTAAATTAGTCCCACTTGCCTGGGTTTAGCCCATATCTCTCCAAACTTTTCCTAATCGTGTACTTATCTTTTAATTGCTGTAACTGTACCTGCATTCATCACTTCCTCTGGCAATTTATTCCACATAAGAGCCATGGTCTGTGTAAAGAAGTTGCCCTTCCTGTCCTTTTTAAATCTTCTCCTCTCACCTTAAAAATATGCCCCCTAGTTTTGAACTCCCCCACCATAGGGAAAAGACCCTTACTATGCCCCTCATGATTTTACAAACCTCTATAAGGTCACCCCTCAACCTCCTATGCTCCAGCAAAAAAAGTCCCAGCCCATCCAGCCTATTTTTATAACTCAAACCCTCCACTGCCGGCAACATCCTGGTAAATCTTTTCTGAACTCTCTCCAATTTAATAATATCCTTCCCAAAGCAGGGCGACCAGAACTGCACACAGAACTCCAGAAGAGGCCTCACCAACATCCTCTACAACCTCAGCATGACATCCCAACTCCTATATTCAAAGGATGAGCAATGAAGGCAAGTGTGCTAAGCACCTTCTTAACCACCCTGTCTACATGTGATGCAATTTTTAAAGAATTATGCACTGAATCCCTAGGTCTCTCCGTTCTACAACACTACCCTGGGCCCTACAATTATCTGTATAAGGCCTGCCCTTGTTTGTTTTACAAAAATGCAATTCCTTGCATTTATCCAAATTGACTCCATCTGTGACTCCTCAACCCATTGACCCAAATGGTCAAGACCTTTCGGTTTTTTGCTTAAGAAGGTTGTTGGGATGCTATCTTTACTAGAAGAGGAATTGAACATATAAGTAAGGATGTTATGCTTCAGCTATACAAAGCATTAGTCAGACCACATCTCAAATACTGTGTGCAATTTTGGTCTCTGCCTTTAAGGAAGGATCTAAATATACTCAAGGTGGTTGATAGAAGGTTTCCTTCGATAACTTGGAATGATTGAGATTTGATTGAAGTTATAAGATTCTCAATAGTCTCGAGAAGGTGGACATAGAAAGGATGTTTCCTTTTGTGGTAAGTCCAGAATTTTTTAGGGGGTAATTTTTAAGGCAGAGATTGTGTTTTTTTTTCTCTTACAGGGCTGTATGGCTTTGCAAAACAGAAGAAGCAGGAAGCATGAATATTTTTAAGACAAAGGTAGACAGATTCTTGATAGACATGGGGAATCAAAGATCATTGAGGGTAGACAGGAATGTGGCATTTAAAACACAAACTGATCAGCCATGATTTTACTGAATGGTGCAGCAGACTTGATGGGCCAAATGGCCTACTTCACCTCCCCAATTGCAAGTTGGTGTGAAATGAAATGGAATTGAGAGGTTTAGATGGTATCATATACTAAGCAAAATCCTTAATATTTATTCTAAAGTTTATTGTAATCTCTGTGCTTATTTAGGTCAGATGTGAAAGAATAAAACATTGGAATTACAAGTAATTCTGCCTATGTCCAGTCAGTGACATGCTAAGGTAATGATCTTCTTACACTACAGTTTGTCTGAGAGCTGTTCGATACCTTCATGCAATATAATGACTCACTATCTATTCCTGTAATTCTTCACAATAATCCTTTTCAGGTTTTCATATTGCATTCCTTTTACCCAGCCACTCCCAATCACATTTTGGCTTCACATTACAAGATATAAGATCAATGAAGGCAACTTGTTATTTGATCTTTGAACAGTTTACAATGCTAACAAAGCTCCCTGAAAAAATGCCAAAAAGCCTCTGAGCTTCACTGCATTCTATAATAATCAAAGATATGGACCAGGAGGTCCTAGAGTGGATCTCTGGTCATTGCTGACTTCAGTTGAGCCATTATAGGGTGCTTTGACTGAGCTAAGTATATCATGCTAAAGTAGGGGGGAATATTAGCCTGTGTTTCTGCTCCTGAATACTGTTAATGACCTGGGTGGAAAATTCACACGTGTGGGCACTGGGGGAAGATGAATTTGACTTCGATACCCTCTTCAATCAAATGCTTTACCAAAACACCCGATCTAATTCCCCTCATGAAGACTGGCTGCATGGCTAAGGTATTGAGAGGTTCACTGGCATCTCTAGGACTGTGCTGGGGGTTATAGGGTAAAAAAGGGGCAGAAAAGTACACTGATTGCAGAAAATGATGTCTTTTAAACAACCTACAAATAATAGTTTTGTGAGCATGGAACAACGCAGTACACAGAAGCTGTCAAACAAAATGTGCCCTGAATTTATAGAATGCAGAGCTGGCTAAGAATCTACAGCCTGTCAACAATATGAATACTGTGCCTTTCGGTAAGGTTGGCACAAGTAGCTTCAGTGCCTTAAAAGATAGGAGATAAAATATCAGCCGATTTCACGCTTTTAATTGTTAGTTAGTTGACTTTGGTTAGAAAGTGTGTATGGGTGAAGAGAGGATCAAGCTTAGAAATGATGTCCTCTCCATGGTTAAATAACCTGCTGAACTTGCTGACTTGGCTCACGTGAAGAATAGCCACTTGGTAAGGCACTGAGGGCTCCCGACACCTGTGGGGTCACCACCTTAGAGGAGGAGAAAAGGGGGAGAAAATTGGGGAAAATGTAGATGGTGCTATTACATTCCAGAAAATTCCACAGTCCACTCTGATTAGAATCAGCTGCTTTCTACTATCAAATATTAATAATAATTGATTTATAAAAATCAACTTACATAGTTATCCCTGGCAGACCAGCCTGGATAAAGTTGCATGTGTAGTTGTCGTTCTTTCCTTGCCAATTCATAGTACTTTGCCTGTTCTTCACGAGAGAGAGCATGCCACTGTCCAAATAAAAGTGCAATAATGTTGGATTTAGCAAACTGTCATATTTTCACAGAAGGGGCATTATCCCATATGTAAATTATTTCCCCTGGTACCCCGATGGAATCTGCATTGTGGAAGGCATGCATGCATGTCCTTTTAAATTCCTTCCCCCTCCTTATCCCCTTGACTTATAACCGTGGCATTCAAATCCCAAAGTTTTCAGCTGTTTAAGGAAAGTGAGCTATCTTCAAAGGCCATTAGAAATAACACGCCAGCACTCTATTCACTACAATCATGCCATGGACAATATAATGATCCTTAGTTGGGTTGCATTAATATTAACTCAGATACAGCCAGGCTCCTATAGATCTCAAGTAGGAAAGAGAAAACTGCTATAGTCCCATAGGAACAGAGGCTGCTCTCTGTCTCATCACAGAGAACCTACTGGTGGTTAGGTTAATTTGAGGGTCACCATGCCTCAATATGAAAGGTGAGGCTGAGAGGGCAGGACCTACATGGTAACCTCAGCCAGTACAGGAATTAAACCCATGCTGTGGGTGTCACTTTGCATCATAAGCCAGCCATCCAGCTCTCAACTAGAAAAGTGGAGCAAAATAAAACTCAATTTTATCTCTTCACTTTGTACTCTCTGAATCGTGAAACTACAGCTACTTATGAATTCCCTGTTTGAAATCTGTTTGGATGAGGTTTGCAGGATGCATCTAAAAACATTACCAGTTTGACACATGTCTCCAGCGAGAGTACTCCTAATGGCTTAGAATACAATGGCTCCATGTGAAATTGAGCCATTGATACCAGGAAGATCCTACTTTCATCACTGGTTTGAGCTGATTCGAGCTGATCTCAGTGGAAGGATTGTGCTCACGGTGCTACATCAGTTTCTCTCTATTTGCATTTTTCTCCTCTTGTTGAACTGAAAAGCTGATCTTTTATTGAAGCTGATGTCACCAAGTGGCAGTTGGGAAGACTGGTTACAACCAGAGAGGTAAAAGTGAAATCTATGAGGGCAGCTTCACTGAGCTGGACAATGAAAAAGATAACACTGTGGTCAACATGAAAGATTACAGAAAGGTCAAGGAAGGATGCTTCAACATCATCTGAGAAACACCAGAGATCACCTGTGAATTTGGTTTGGGTCATTGCAGTGTTGTGGTGTGATAGAAGCTGTATGTTAATAGTACATCTAACGTAAAGGGAATGCACAGAAATACGATCAGACAAAAATAGATGACACAACAAGGAAGGAGATAATAGAAAAGGCATGATCAATGAAATGAGGTTTACAAAGGATTTACATGATGAGTTGCAAGGATTAGGAGAAATAATTTCAGACTTTCATGTGGCCTTGATGGCTAAAGGCAAAGGAGGGGGAGGTGTATAGCAATTCTGAGCTCTACAAGTAAAAGATCATGGTGAGTTTGTGGATAAGAAGAGAGTTACAGTAGTAATTGAGATGATTTTGTTGCCTCAGGCAAGTTCACAGAGTGGAAGACGGTTGCAGATCCAAAGATTTTCTTTATGGTGAGGTAGCCAGGCCAGGAAACCAGCAGGACAGTCTAAAGTCCTCTTTATAGGATGCTCACATGCATATGACGTGAAGTCACTAGATGTCAATTTTCACACCTGGACACTAGTTGATGCCAGAGGGAAATGATGACATCACTTGTGGACCAATGTACACCTTCATTATGTTCAGTGGCTACCATGATTTGGCAACAGGCACCAACACTTAAAACATTAACCACCAAGAATACCTGACCTAATCACCACTTCATCTGTGACACTTGGTACAGAACTTGCTTCTCATGATTGGTCTCATCATCCATCAATAAAGGTTCATTCTAAAGCTACCCCCATCTCCAAAGGGTTTGGTTTGCTTCAGATACATGTCTTACATAGATGAAAGGATACAAATGACAGAAATAGGAGAGCCAAGGACATGAAGGGAATTAAATACCGAACAAGGCAGAAACCTGATTAGAAAGATACAAGCAAAAACAGAAATTTCTGGAGAAATTTGGCAGGTCTGGCAGCATCTGTGGGAAGAAAGCAGAGTTAACATTTTGAGTCCAGTGACTCTTCATAAGAACGGTTCATCAGAACAGGAGGGGTCGAATGATAGAGAATACAGTTTCTGAGAAGTGGGAGAACTACTATAATGGTACCTTACACAGAGGTTAGGAAGGGGAGTTTGATGGTTAATGGTTTAGTGAGATTGAAGTCAAAGGAGCAAGTGGCCTGTCTCATTAGTGAAATGGGCTTAGAGAGGGAAGAAGAAAGTGAAAGGCTTTGATTCAGGGCTAGGTCAGGTCAGAGTCCCACAAGAGGATTAGCTGGACAACTTGGAAAAGCAGAAAGGAGTAAATATGCTCAGAGGTAGTTGAATATCCGCAGCCCTTGGCCTCAATTTTAACTGTCCCATCTGGTAGAAACTGAATTATAGAATTGTGGGGCAGGGATATTTAAAATAACACAAGTCTCCTAACCAATTGAGATCCTGTGGCTTTTTTACCATACCCTGATACTAATCTAGTCTTTTGAACAGATCAACAGGAATAAAGACCATCGGGATTTAATCTGAACTTTTCCCCACTTCTGATCCATATTTACAGTCTTCCTCTTCCCCACCCAATCTTCCCATATAATTCCCTGATGAGCTCTCCTACAACCAGATGTCCACTGCTACCCAACGATCACTAGTTAATCTGGCTGGATATCGGCCTACAATAGCTCAACTTTGTTGGGTTTCTCTCACCATTGCTGTACCCCTGTGAAATCAGCATCAAGCACCATGATGGAAATTTTCGCTATTGTTGGAGGTGAAGGTACAGTATGGAGAGGGTTTGAAGGATCTGATTGGTAGTAGTAAAACAAGAAAGAGATTACTTTTGAATTATCTTTATCTAACCGGATCTGATGAAGAATGCCTAAACAATTGTGTTCCAGAAACATAAATCCTTTGCCTTGAGGAAGCAAAAATGGGGAGACTACAACTGGCATTTTATAAGCCCTGAATGTACAGCACTGCAAAACTCAATTGTCCATGCTTCAATCTGGCTGAAGAGTGGCATCTGACCGAGAGTCCTGTGGACTACTGGCATCCTGGAGATGTACTTGTATGAGCTGTTCTCTTCAAGTGAGAAATGATAAGGATCAGATATTCATTTATTTAAAGCTGACGTGATACATATTCTTACTTACTCTTCGACCCAAGATTTGATTGATGGCTGCGCTCTCTTTCAGAGTGCACTCAGCTACAACTTTTGCCCTCATTTCTTTCATGTAAAGCATAAATGCATTGAGAGGTTTTTTGATAGTAGGCTTTTTACTCTCTTTTTCCCTTTTTGGTTCAGGATTAGGTTTCCTAAAAGACAAAAAAAATTTGCTTAAGAATAAATTGGAACAACTAAATATCGACGTTATTTGATGTAGGCAAAGGGTAATGAGATAGAACAAAAGATTGTGCTTTCATTTCTGAGAAATTGAGATTGAATCAATCCTAGATGGACAGGATGAAAATTTCCCTTTCTAACTCTCACTTCTTGTTTGAGTATCTGAAGTGAAATGAGTTTGGTGCATAGGCTCAACTTGAAGGTTTTAGACAATTCATCAGAACCACAAAAGTGCTTCACATTCATTATGACTGACCTTGTAAACTCATTCTGAGAAGCCTCAAGAATAAGAATTAATAGACCTATTTGGATGATTACGAAAATACTAAATCAAAAAGTGCCATAGGAGATGCTTGACTATCAGGGATGCTTGCACCGATATTCTAATACTAAATTCTTCCAAATCTACTAGAAAAAGTTAAACTAAATATATAGAAAATGTGTGTTTGAAAAATCATTTCAAGGTTGTAATGAGGCTGTGCATTATTCCTAAGTGATTTAAGAAGTGCTTTCCTGGGCCTGTAAACAAGAGGACATATTTCTATAACCATTTACTATAATGTCATTCTGGATGAAATTAGGAAATCATTTGTAATTTTTGACAGGCAACGCTAGACATATGTGAAAAGCCAGGAGAAACCAATGAATTTACCATTGGGAGTCTGTGAAAGGTCAGGCGTGTATTCAAGCTTGGGCGATATTACCATTCCAACACCAAACATTCCAATTGACTTATTGCTGTCAAGCAAAGATCAGGTGTAACAGATAACCGAGATAAGTCATGGTAGTTTGGCAGGTTTCTGCAAGTGAGAAGGCTGGGGGAGGATGGCATGGCAGAGACTGAAATATGTCCAATGATGTCCAGAAGAGAGGTTGATGGAGCTCCATTGGCCAATAAGCTGTTAAAATTGCTAAGTGATAGGATCCTGTAACTTGCCCAAACACCACCCAGGAGAAAGTGGCCCATTTGGTCACTGCCACATGAAACATTCACTCCATTCATTATCAGTGAACAATGGCAGCAATGTCCACCAAATACAAAACATAGCAACTTGCTAAACCTCATTTAACAGCATTTTTAATACTCTGGGCCTAGAGTGACAAAGGCAACAGACGCATGGGAACTCCATCACTTGCAAGTTCCCCGTCAAGCCACACACCATCCTGAATTGAAATTCAAACACCGATCCTTTACTGCCATTGGGTCGAAATCTTGGGACTCCTTCCTAACAGCATTGTGGGTGAACCTACACAAGGTGGACTACAGCAGTTCAATATGATGGCACATCATCGTCTTCTGAAGAGAAATTATGGGTGGGTAACAAATGCTGGTCTTGCTAGCAAAACCCATGAGTGCATAAAAGAAGCTGGTTCAGGAGGCATTTCTACTGCCTGGCAACAGAATTGTTGTGATCCAGTACTGGAGTGGGAAAAGGGACTCATCAATTTTAAGTCTCAGTCCCACTGGTTTCCACAAGGCAGAACATGTTAACACCCCACCACCTTTTGAAATAATGTGAAGTAAAATGGAAACCATTCTTCAGCTAGAAACATCTAAGGCAGGTTTTAGGGAGAAGATCTTTAGCTAACTCAAAATATTGAAGTTTCGTTCTAGGTTTTAACCAAATTCAAAGATAATATTGCAAAACAAGATTAACTCAGAACATTTACTTGCAAAGTCATTTTCTGCATAGTAAATAATTTTGTCCTTCTGGATTTGATTTATATTGTGGATTATACGCTGGAGACATCATTCAGCATCATTACTTCAGTTCCAATTAAAGTCTTTGAGGTCAAAGTGGCAAGCACATCACTCACCATCGGACATTGCATCAGCAGCCTATAAAAATGATTTCAAAATCTTGCAGATTGCTGAACAATGTAAGGAATGCATTCTGAAACAAAATATTTTGTTCTTTTATGGTTGATTCCATCTATTACGTATAAGTATTTACAATTTCAATAACTTGGTGTGACTGATTTTTTTACACCTAACATTAGCATATAAAGATCCTATGACTGTAAGGGAATCTGGGAAGCAAGTTTACACCCATTAACTGTTGTAACGAGATGATATCGTTCAACAATGTACAATAAGAAATCTGATATATAATGCTGATCACTATCTGGTTTAAACTACAAATGGTGCTCTGGCAATCTGATATTTATTACTCTTCAGAGAAAACAGGAGAACATGACAAATATCTGACAAAATCACCACCACCACATCATGTAGCAATTGAGGGTAATACTTATTATCCAGCCATCAGCAAGTAAAAAGAAAGAGGTCTTAGTTCATAAAGTTTGCTGAGCATTTCAAAACCCCCTTTCTAAGGGAAGCATTCATTGAAAGTCCTGGGTGAAAGTTTGAATGGCAACAATGACATGATTGCATGATGATTGTTGCTGTTGCTATAAGTTCTAAAATAAATTGTTAAGCAGCGTAACAAAAGTCTATGCCAGTGATGCCGCATGATACTGCAGTGGCCATTTGGAGAAAGTTTATCAAAGAAGCCATTCCTGGGACAGAACCTATCACCCAACCAACAAACTCTCCAATGTGGCAAACAAATAGTTCCCATAAATAATGGAGAAGGTGGACTTTATACAGAAGATGACAACTACTATTTTATTTGATTAACTGCAAATTAATACCCACATATTTAAAGATGGAGAATGTTAACTTTTGTAGCTTAATTTCAGTCATAAAGCAATATTGTCTATTTAATATGTTGCATCTGTTCGTAACCTCTATCCCAAATTGGAGTCTGATTCATACTGTGCCAAATATAACATAGCTCTCTAATTATGTAATTTATAAGTAACAGTTGCTTCAGCATTCCATAGCCAAAAGGATAATTATTTCCAGGTTCACACTTTCCTGTGACTCAAAACTAAATCAAAATCATCCTTATCTTTTGTCTCTCCCCATGAAACACACTAATACTGTGAATCAGATTTTCCTTGTTCATACATAACTTAAATATATAATTATAATTAAGTATATAATTTAAAGCCTGAGACTCCCTCGCACTGAAAATGTATGATGTTGGCCATAGACATTCAGTCTGCTGAGCTCCCTTGATGCTCTGCTGAACAAAATTACCACCTATTACAAAGCCATACAAACCAGAAGGTTTCCCATTTAATTTCTGCTTTGTGCTGACTTAGCTACTTTCAGCTCAGCTGGCAGAGAGGGATGCCATAGCTAGCCTCAATACAGGGAGAGAATCAGATATGTTTCTTCTCTTCATTACTGCACTACAGTAATGAATACACTTCAAAACTACTTTATTGGTTGTAAAGTGCTTTGAGATGCCCAACAACCAAGATAAATGGATATAAATGCAATCTTTTCATTCTCTTCCAGTAGCCTTGCTGTAAGTGTCCATCTGTGATCATTAAGTGAGTAAAATAACTAAAGGCTGATAATATTGATTAGGCTTCTGTGCTAGTGATGGTTTCTTGGCCAAAGCACTGGAGAGTTGCCGTTACCTTCAGAACCAGATCTCAGCTTGAGTCACCACTTATAAGAGAAAAGCGACAAAATGAAGAAAATACATTCAGTCTGAGGAGTTTAATTTACTTTATTGTGTGTCCTTAAATTTTAAAGAGGAAATACTATCATGGCAACCCCTTTCTTGTTAATATAGGGAGAAAAACTAAAAAAGCTCATGTGTTTTATGTTACATTAATCTTCTTTGTAAGTGAAATGAATTATCTGGTTGTCCTTATATACAAATTAAAAAAGACCTTCGATGAAGGTGAATGTCATTTTTAATATTACAGAATGTTTATGGAGAAATACAAAAAAGTGTGAGATAATAATATGGTCTTCTTACAGTTGTTACTACGTAGCTTAACCGAACTAACCCTCAAAAAAATACTTATTTGGCGAGCATCATTTTTCTTGTCATCTTGAACAAGTTAGCTAGTAGGTCCAGTGTTAGGAAACAGAGCCAAGGTAGCCTATAGTCTTCTTCACCATTTATTGGGCTGATTTTTGCCATTGTTTTTTGGGTGGGAGGCAGATTCAGTCTCAAGAATAGATTTCCCCACAAACTTCCTTCAAGTGGTAACCGCTGTATTGGAGCTTTAGAAAGTCAGATGACAGCAGCAATATAGATTTTTGTTACACTGTTGAGCAATTAAAAAAGAAGCAGCAATATAATCATCCATGCAATTAAGTCATTCATTAGAATCTTAACAGAGGTTAAGCAATGTGGCCTATAGGAAGGTTTGTGTAATCACATGGGAAGTCCAGTGAAGTCTATCTTGATGTTGGGGGCATCTCACACCATCTTTTGATAAGCAGTGTGGTGAGTTTCTTGCTAGGCAATGTTAAGTTCCAATTTGGGGCATTATTGCTTGTTAACACCTTGGTAATGACCCCACTCGCCTCATTAATATTCACCTTCCTATCTTACCAAACACACCAAGCTCGATGTCATCTCAATATAGAAATCGGAGTGGGTACCTGGCAACCTCAGCTTGATGCTTGCTCCATAGGATCTCCATCAGGCACCAACACCTCAGGACATGCTCCATGGGCATCAGCTCACACCCAGTATGTGCCAGGCTCTAAGAACCCTGATGGCAGATCTCTGTGCCATTACAAGATACTTCTGCACTTCAATGTTGCGCTCTCGTGCTGCAATGGCAGTCATCATTGTAACGCACACCCAGTTCATGGAACGGACCAAGTTGCATCACCGGCCTCTTCACTCACTGTCATAGCACTCACTCACTCTTAGCCTATCTGGATGCTCACAGCTTCCCTGCCTTTCCTTGCTTTTCTGTGCTTTGTTCCCTCAGCCAGAGTTACCAGGCTCATATTAATTGTGTCTTGCTGTGCCATTTAGTGCAGATCCAAAGGCAGGAAGCTTATCATAGTTCCCAGCAGGTCTCAGTCAGGTCAAGGGAGATAGCCTTTGGTCAGGGGCACTGGGACAGTAAGTAAAGGGCAGCCTGCGATAGCAATCATGGTCAGTTACTCAGGCCAGTCACAGGCCACATATGGGGTGAAGAGCTGCATGCTGGGCAGTCCTCCACCTGTTTTGATACTTTCCGCCTCACTGGGGGCTGTTTTCCTCCTAGAATGAGAGAGGCAGCTGTTATTAGGGATGAAATTGGATGGCAAAGTTGTCACTATCTGACCAGATAGGGAACTGTTCCGAGTGAGCGAGTAGGCAGCATGCAGGGTTCATGGTGTTGGGGTTTGGGGTGGATGAGGTCAAGTGAGAGGTGATGTTGCAGGTAGTAGTGAGATTGATAGGGGATGAGCCTTGGTGAGTGCAGGATACAGTGGCAGAGATGGAGTGACAGTGAAGTATCGGAGACAAGACGGTGGCACTTGCACTGGTAGAGACGAGAAGGTCATTGACCTTATTCCAATATTGCTGTGCATTCCTCCAAATGGGTGAGGATGCACTGACCGAGGTGTCAACCCCGAACCAAGCTGGCATAGTCAGGTGCTCTGGCCATCACTCTTGGTCCTGGTGCAAGAGGAAGCCCTGCCTCTGCACCACCCCCATCCAGAGGGAGCTCTAGGACCCTGCTCACAAAGTGGGGCATCAATTTGCCCCTGTCTGCCATGTCCAGGGCAAACCTCAAAACCGTGTCGGGCAGCTCCAGACTGTTAGTGCTTCTGTGGGCGCACAACAAGATAGCACAGGCACAAGGAATACTGGACAGTGGCGAGCTCTTCTGGAAATGGAGCTGGATCTCTAAGATGGAGCTGGAATCACACGTGAGGGCTGCCTTAAGGGAGGGGTAGTTAGTTAATAAGGTGAGTTTGGTAAGATAGGCTGAGAAAACCCAACAGGCCACATGGAGAAAAACTCTCCAAAAACTTCAAAGTCACTCATATTTATTCAAAAGATTCGGCCTACACAAAAAAAACCAAACAACTGCACACGCTGGGAAACAAAAACAAAAGCAGAAATTGCCAGAAAAACTCAGTAGGTCTGGCAGCATCTGCGGAGAGAAGACAGAGTTAACCTTCTGGGTCCAGTGACCCTTCTTCAGAACTGATTGTAGCTAGGGGTCAAGTTGGTCTATGTGCTGAAGGAGAGGTGGGGAGGGGGAAGAATTACTAGCTGACAATAGATTGTTTGTGGTAGCAGACCATGTGATGACAAGGCCTGGTGTGTTGGGGTTGGTTAAGGACATGGGAGAAGGTGCTCAAGCCCTGAAATTATGGAACTCGATATTGAGTCCTGAAAGCTGCAAGGTCCCCAAGTGGAAAATGAGGTGCTTTTCTTCCAGCCTGCAGTGAGCCTCTCTGGAGCGCTGCAGCAAGCCCGAGACTGAGATGTTGGCCTGGGAACACAGTGGTGTGTTGAAGTGGCAGGCAACGTAGGGTCATTTTTGCAGGCAAGACATGGGTGTTCTGCAAAGCAATCAGCCAGTCAGTGTTTTGCCTCACTACGGTACAGCAGACCACATTGTGGGGAGCGAATGCAGTAGGCTAGATTGAATGAAGTGCAAGTAAAGCACTACTTCACCAGGAAGGTGTGTCTGGGGTCTTGTCTAGTGAGGAAGGGGAAAGTAAACGGGCAGATGTTGCACCTCTGCAATTGCACCATGGAAGGTGCCGTGGGGATGTGGGTAGATTTTGGGAGAGGAAGAGGAGTGGACCATGGCATCCCAGAAGGAATGGTCCTTGCAGAAGACTGACAAGGAAGGGAGGGGAATATGTGCCTGGCATCCCACTGGAGGTGTTGGAAATGGTGGCTAATGATCCTTTGGAGATGGAAGCTAATGAGATTGTAAGTGAGACAAGGGGACCTTATTGCTGTTGTGGGAGGGAAGCGGGGGAGGGGGTGGGGGGTGCGGATGGTGAAGGCTGAAGTATAGGAGATAGGTTGGACATGAACTGAAGGCCCTATCAAGCATGGTGGTGGGGAATTCTTATTTGAGGAAGAAGGTAGACATTTTGGAGGCCCTCTTGTGGAAGTTGGCAATCATCAGAACAGATGCGACAGAAATGGAGAAACTGGGAGAATGGAATCGAGACTTCACAGGAAGCTGAGTGTGAGGATGTACTGTCCAGATAACTGTGGGAGTCGGTGGGTTTATAGTGGATGTTGGTGGTCAGCCTATCCCCAGAAATGGAATCAGAGATGTCAAGGAAGGGAAGGGAGGATTCAGAGATGGACCAGGTGAAGGTTATAGCAGGGTGGAAATTGGAAGCAAAATTGATAAACTTTTCCAATTCTGGACAAGACAGGGAAGCAGCGCCAATGATGTCATTAATGTATTGGATAAAGAGTTGTGTTGGAGGCCCGAGTAGGACTGGAATAAGGAATGTTTCACGTAACCCACAAAGAGACAGGCATAATTGGAGCCTGTGCATCTACACAAAGAAACAAAAGCTCTCACTGCTTTTCCACCTATGCATGTGCAAGCAGTGCTATGTACTTTCAGCATCATTACTTACATGGATCTCAGCCCACTGTCATATTGATTCATGTCTGGTTTGCCTGAAGCACTCACAATAGCAGGATGGGGGATGCCTGTAGAGTGCATGCCTGGAGGGCCCAACACCAGGGGATGGGGAAACCTGCAAACAAGCAAAGTCATTTTGGTGCTACATTTTCCACAGTGACAACATCGTTGTGCGGCGCGAAATACCAGAATCTGATTTAACTTGTTATTGGGTGAGTGTGGAGAGAACTGGCACACATAGCCAAACGAATTACAGTTCCCAAGCTTTATCGACTAGATTAGTGGATTAACACTTAAAAATATAGACACTGAATTAGAACAGGTGCCTGTGCTGAGCCACAAAGATAGGAAGGAGTAAAAATAACAGCCAAGCGTCCTGCTCCCCCTTGTAGCAGGTTGAAGGCGGAGCATTTTGATAATTAGACAAGAACAGATCAAAATTTGGGTCTTGATGCCCCCACAGTTGAATAAGTTGTCAACGCTCATGCCTGGCCTTAAACATGAAGAATGGCCACTTGAGCGAGATTGACATCCAGTAGAGCTGTGTCCTGCATGATTCAGGGAGTTTCGGTAAGCAAAGGAGAAGCTGAGAGAAATTCAGGAAAACAAGTTGGGGTTGGAGTTATGAAGCTTTATTGCTGATGTAGATCCTTGACAAATATGAGTCAAAGAGAGGAACACAATGTAATAATCCCAATTCTACAGTTTATATTCATGTTTAATGAGGCTTTAGGGAAGAAGATGGTCCAGGACAATTGTGCAAGTGATTAGCATCACATAGCTCACTCATTATACCTTCAGCAACCCCCACTGACTTCAATAGAAGTGCATATTGATATCAAGTGTGGTGTGTAACACCAGGCTGATGTGATACCATCCACATTGTTCTACATATTTCAAATGCTTTTGACTTGAATTATCTTCTTTGTGCACAGGTAG